GACACCCGAGTTAATTACCAAAGTTAGCAAATAAAAAAAAATAAGGATTATGTTGTTGTGCAATGGGAGAGGCCTATGTCCAGCAGTGGACTGAGATAGGCTGATGATGATGATGTTGTTAGGATAATCGTCGTATTCCTTAGTGTCGATTGCTTCTAATTTCATTATAATCATTAGCGTCTTGTATCATTTGCACGGATGGTGTTGTGGTTTAAGCGGTCGCCACGCCACTCATTTGTGGGTCGGATCCCCCCACATGGGACGACACTTTGTGTGATCCACAAAATGTTGTTTTGAGTCTGGGTGTTCTTTATGTCCGTTTCATGTATGTTTGTAAAGTCCCCCGCGACATAGGATATATTCCTAATGCGTCTTTTTTAAAGCACAAACAATAATAAAAAAATTAAACATTTTTCTACATGTCCTTTCTACATTAATAATGCTGTTTTAAAAAATAACAAGGAAAGTAAAGAAATTCAATTAAATCAAAAGAAACTCGTTAGCTACTACAGGACTAAATTGGATTTCAATTTCAAAGTACTTTAGCAGGCAGTCTTTTCTACCGCTTTTAATAACTCTGAAGCAAAAGATATTTTATTTACCAAAAACATAAAGGAATTGATTTATAAAGTGTTATAACTAACTTTCAACATATGGCCCTATATAACGTCCACTTGAGGGACAGTACTTGAAGAATATCGCCTAATCTTTTTAAAAGGGTGGAGGCTAAAGTACCCTCTAATCCTACATTATTGACCACTATCTGTAGAGGTCAGTGATGTGAGATTTAGCCCTTTAACTTCACTTACTGTCCCTTTGACCTAATGGCAAAATATATAATAAATTTATAGAAAACGGGATACTTTGATACGAAAATACTGTTGTTCTTAAAAATAATACGTTATACGGCACGTTATAAAGTAAACGGCAATTAAAATATGAGAACATTAATAAATTTGTTCACTTATGAAGAGCCTTTAAATTCATTAAATATGTGGGAAGTGACTAAACGAGAGGTCGAAAGACCTTAAGGCAAAGCGTTTTTTAATGTAAAAAGGATAAGGAACTTATGGCGTGGCGTTATGATTTCGCGAGGTAACTCCTGTACACCAGGATCAACAGCAGTGACCCACGAACACACCGAGTTATGACACTCGGGAAGTCCCAGGAAAAATTAAAATGTCTTTGAACCCGCAACGAAATAATATAATAATAATAATAATATTTTATTCTCTTTTCACAAATGGATACCTTAACAAAATAACACAGCACTAGGCTAGCTTCTTAAATCCACATTTGTGAAAGACTGGTGCCTGATGTAGGTTAAAAAAAAACCTGTGTTACAGGTCACCAGGCCCTCCGCGTGGATATAGGAGACAGTCAATACACCGTGTGAGAAAGTTGGCAATTAAACAAACTAAAACGATTACAATACCAAAGAAAAAAAACAAAGAGGACAAACATTATTTACTTACAAAAAATAATTAAAATGAAAATAGAAATGTGTGTGTGTAATTGTGTTTGTGTGTGTGTGTGTGTGTGTGTGTTCGTGTGTGTGTATGTATGGGTGTGTGTATATGTGAGTGAATGAGCACGAGATTGTGCGTAAGTGATAGTGACTAATGTAGAAAGTGTCATGAGATTGTGTTGAGAGTTTGATATTACTGATAGGAAGGTTAGGGAATATTCAGAATAGGGCTTTATTTGAGGATGGTCATTAAATTTTCAGTTGTATCATAATCCAGGGTTTTCAGATAACATTTTAGCATTTGCAGACAGTCAAATTTACTTTTGGGGTATATGTTAAGGATACTGTTCATTTTATTGTAAATATATGACCCAAGAAAACAGAAGAATCTTTGAGAGAGTGAAGATTTGAAATTTAAACGAGGACATACCTTACCTTTTCGTCGCTTATCTTTGAGAAGGTTAACGTCAAACTGAAGCTCGGAGTGTTTTTTAAGTACAGTTTGCAAAATAAATGTTTGTCTTACAGTAAGTATGTCCCATTCGCGATATAGGTCTGCAGTTGGGTAACGTAAGGGGAGGCTGGCAGCAACCTTCAAAATAGCACGTTGCGTTCTTTCAATCTCAATAAGGTGTGTCTTGGCCGCACCTCCCCATGAAGTTATGCAATAATCAATAAGAGATTGACACAATGCATAATAGACCATTTTGAGAGTCTCACGGTCTGCCGAGTGCCTTAATGCTTTGAATATATATATAAGTTTTCGTAATCTAGATACAAGGGTCTCAATATGTGGTTTAAATGTAAGATGTTGGTCAAAAATCACCCCAAGGTATTTAACACTCTCAACTTTCTCAAGAGACGGACAAGAGCAGTCAGAACTTTCATAGGTACAAGTGTGGGCGGTCAGGGTTAAAGATGAAGATGGGAGCAGGTTAGCTCTATGTGCGAAGGCCATATATTTTGTTTTGGAGATGTTTAACGTCAAGATATTGCTTTGCAGCCATTCACCAACCCTATCAAAACCTAGTTGAGCCATGGCGAAGACCGCCTCCCAACTGTTGCCGCTGAAAAATAGTGCAGTGTCATCAGCAAATGTAAAAATCCTACCATTATTGATAGGAAGTTGGCAAAGGTCATTGATGTACACCAGAAAAAGTGTCGGGCCAATAATGCTGCCCTGCGGTACGCCATATTTGATACTCAACTCATCACTTAGTACATGGTTTATCCTCACGCGCTGCTTTCTGCCAGTAAGATAGTCTTCCATCAATTTTAGAGGAGTTCCTCTTATACCAAGCCCTTCTAATTTTTGTAATAGGTGCGGGATTGAGACAGTGTCAAAAGCCTTCTGAAGGTCAAGGAACAGCGCAAGGCATTTCTTTTTGTCATCTAAGTCGGTGACGATAGAGTTCAGCAATTCATGAACCGCATCATTAGTACATCGACCTGTCCGAAAGCCGTATTGAGAGGGGGAGAGGAGATTATTAACTTCGAGAAATTTTATGAGTCGCTGGTTTATTAGGCGCTCCAGAACTTTAGACAGTGCTGGTAGTATGGAGATTGGACGGTAGTTACTAACACAGTCTCTTTCACCAGCCTTATGGATAGGTTTGATAACTGCTGTTTTGAACGCTGCAGGGAAAATACCTGTAGAAATGGACAAGTTACAGATATGCGTTAAAGGAGAGGTAAGGATGCTTGCATACCTCTTTAAAGTTTTAGTAGTGATTTGATCAATACCTACAGCACAGTTTTCTTTGAGACCTTTTATAAGGGTAAAAACTTCTTTTTCGTCGGCTGGAAGAATGACAAATGAATTTAGAGTTGCTGCTGAATGATGATTTTGCGTTATTTTGGGTAAAGAAGATTTAGCGGGGGATACCTTTCTGGCCAGGTTTTCGCCAACGTTTGAAAAAAAATGATTGACTTTGTTTATATCCTTTTCGGGACTGTTAAGTGACAAGAGAGATGATGAACTATCAGTTTTCCTAATAGTCCCACTTATTTTTTTAATAACATCCCAAAGCTGTTTTTTGTTACTCTTTGTATTTTCAATCTCCTGCTTTTCATATCTCTTTTTTGTTCTTTTTATTAAAGAATTGCAAAAATTTCGGTAGCGTCTGTATGTAAGCTTAATGGTCTCGTCGTTAGGTTTTTTTTTAAGCTTTTTGTGGAGGTTGTCCCGGTTTCTCATGCAACGGAGTAGACCTTCAGTCACCCATGGCTTAGTTATTAATTTTCTATTTGTGCCTTTGACTATACTTGTATTATTTTTATAGCTGTGGACAGGTATGAAACGAGAAGATCAGCGCAAAAGTTTGGGTCTTGGCTATTAAGGATAGGCTGAAAGTCCATGTTTTCAAAAGTTTTATCGAGATTTACGTAGTTAACTAGGTGATACGTTTTATTTAGGTAATTCAAACGAGATTTATGTCTACAGCTAATAGCCACACTCTCATGATCTGTGATTGATGTTTCGAAAATAAAGCACATGGCGTTCAATTGGGTCTTAACCATCATGTGGTCTAGACATGATAGGCCATGCGTGGGTAATGTATGAGCAGGGAGTAGACCATGACTAGTTAAGGTGTTCAGATAGTCGTAAGATCGCTTATCAGGACTGTTTGGAACTATATTGATATTTATATCACCACAAAAGTAAATGTTTTTGAAGGTCTTGAATTGGTTTAGTAAGGAATTAATTGAGTCGACAAAGCTTACTGTGTTAATTTGACTTGGTGGGCGATATAATCCGATAATGCATGTGTCACGGTCCAATTTTAACACTAGGCAATTGGCATCAGTAACGATAGGTTCCAAGAATGTTGGATTGAGAAGCTTGTTGTAATACATAACGACACCTTCGTTTTGTGACTTGTGTAAAGTGGTCGCTATATGGTTGTAATTATCGAGGGTAGGGATAGACTTTGCACACGGAAGCCAACACTCTGTGAGGACCAATACATCCCAGAATATGGCTGATCTTTGCAGAAGAGTAACGAAGTTTGGCATGTTGCAGTTAATACTACGAATATTCTGAGCCAGTATATTAATATTAAATTTATTAGATGAAATGTAACTTTTGGCATTTTCTATGTCGCACCTGACAGTAGTTGCTATTTGAATTGAGTCCAGATCAGAGCTTAATGTTTCGATGTTTTGCATATTGTAAAATAATTAGTAAGATAGACTAACCATAGTCACGTTGTATACGTGACTTGAGAAAATGGGAATTGAATAAGCTGTGATCTGGGACTTTCATTGGTTTAAGTATGGATTCTTGACATATCGAAATAAGTAAAAGGATGATGTTACTACTACTGATTAGAGTTACTCGTTTGGATAACGTGTGTTGAGAGTTAGTGTTGAGTTGTGAGTGATGAGTATTATGAGTGGTTGTATTTATGTATGTATACGGTAAAGATAGGAACACACTAAAACTAATATAAAAGTGTAGATAAAATAATAAAAAAGCAAGGAAACATGCTAGGCAAACTAAGTAGAGACAAAAATACTGGACAAGGACTAGTCACATGGTATGCTGCAGGACATCACTTTCTTCTTCAATACGAGTTGGTGCTGAGTCAGCTTCTCTTTTAATATATACCTTCCCACCTGAGGTCCATGCCTTAAAAAGTTTTTTGGTCTTGACGCTTGAGCGCGCCATGTAAAAGAGATGTCTTGCTTTGGAAGTTAGATACTCCGATATGTATAGTGTACAAGGCGCACCCGGAAGTTTAATAGACTCCGTGTTTAGTTGTGGTTCTTTTTTATCGCGTTTGCTTTTATTGTATGATTTGTACATAGAAATCATTGAGTCCCTCCTGAAAGACGTGGTAAAATCAACTACAACGGCTGACCTGGTACGAAATATGTCTTTTATTTCGGATTTATGTATAGGAGTCTCTAATCCTAACGTCAGACCGACTTGTTGTATAGTCTCTATTAATAGTGCCTTGTTTTCGTGTTCTTGACTAGGTAAATTACGGATTTCTATCGTCGAACGTCGTACACTCCTTTCTAGGCTGTCTAGATTTCGTTCTAAGGTCGATATTCGCTCCCTATATGCGCCATTTTCTCGTTCCAGCTGACTGATTTTCATGAGGAGGGCATCGTGCTTATTGGTTAAAGTTTCAACAGATTTCTGTATTGCCTGGTTCTGTGTCATGACAGTGGCGAGAATGTTATTTAATAAATCAAATTTAGTTTCCTGTTGAGTCATTATTTGATCGAGCATAGACTTTATCTCATTAGAGTACCCCGGCTGCTCCCTGACCTCATCGAAAGTACGCTTCTGTCGTTTGGTAGTGTTAAAATAGTTATCAGTCCCATCCGAGGCATTGGACACATTAAGGGCCGAATCTGAGTTGTAGTGGATTATATTAATTGGAGGGTCCAATTGACGTAATGATGGTGGGGAGCGTTGCACAGACATCTTAACTCAGATAGTTTGTAGGCGTTTGTCTTAAAACAAAGTAGAATTAAGCTCAAACTGGGCCGATGTTCACAGTTCTGAATAGATCAGTTACACGGTGCCAACAAAACAGACACAAAAACACGCAGTGGTGATCGATGTAAGGCGGGGCTCAACATAGGCTGGTAGCTATCGACAGATCGGAACAAAAGTGCTATCCGTCCAGTATTACTTGACCTCTGGCTATCCCTTTTGCTCGTATATGTCTGTCCCTATCTGCGCTTACGCAGAGTAATTTTTATGAATAAGTATTAGGACTGTTCATTAATGTGCGCACGGGGGTGTGGCCATAAGATAGTAGATTTGACTCACGCGCAGGGTGAATGGTGGCGTACGTATCTCACGAAGCTTGCGACGTCCGTTACCACCAGCGCCTCACTCCTGTCGACGTATGCGCTCCTAGTACTTTGCACTGTTATTTTCCAAATTATTTTTGTTTATGTAAATTAAAGCAATATATTAAACGGTCACTAAAACAACGTCTGTGCTGCTTGGAGATCCACGAGAAAAGGGGAACTTATGGCGTGGCGTTATGATTTCGCGAGGTAACTCCTGTACACCAGGATCAACAGCAGTGACCCACGAACACACCGAGTTATGACACTCGGGAAGTCCCAGGAAAAATTAAAATGTCTTGGAACCCGCAACGAAATTAATCAGAAGAAAATTGGAGGAGTTGGTAATAAAATAAATCCACTTCCCTCGTTAGCAAGGCGGGAAACAAAATGAAGTAAAATCCGCATACACCCTTTTCAACAGGGAAGCACCAAGGCCACAAAATGTTATGGGTCCTAAGTGAGCTGTATTTGATTTCTATAATATGTATGGCAGAATCGCCTAAACGCACGGAAATTCAGGGTGAATTGCCATGCGTTTAGGCGATTCTGCCAGTTGACACAAGATCTTCATAGTATACCGCCTCAGATGTCACATGTAAGCCATTCAGCATAATGTTACATTCATTATACCAAAGACTACATTCAAAGAGGATATGATGAGCAGACTGGTCACAGATAGGTGTTGAGCATTGACACGATGGTGACTCGATTAATTTAAATGAATACAGCTTGCTCTTAAAGTTACCATTACCTGAGGGCCGAGTGCAATTTTATTTCACATCAACTTGCTCTCGACAACTAGCGTGTTTAACGTTTAAATAAATTGACATAGTGATCCACCTAAAGCCATGTCCGCGAAAACCGTTCGCGAACAGATGGAAGGTACTGGTAAAGGTGGCACCCCTTAGATGATTGGTCCCAGCGTTGTTGCCATTCGTCTATGAAGTCATTATAGACATCGGACTGCTGTTGAAGCAACCTTGTGATTTTATCGTGATCTCGTGCGCTCAAAAAAATCACATTCCATGTTTTGTAGTGTTTAATAGTACATGGCTGCACGTCTCTGCACATCGAAATCGACCGGAAGCATATACGCAAACACCGTCAAAGCCTCGGTGCTAACCGTCCTATATTATACGGCTCAAGAATATCAGTGCAATTCGTTGACCTTGTAACAGTTTGCGACGAACAGCGCCTACGGTTGCCCTATCCGGATGGTATTGGTATCTCAAGAAAATCGTCGAAGCCGATATTCAACAAGTATGGACGCAGCACTGATCCCTGAGGACATCCCATTGTAGGTTAGTTTTCGCAGCTTTCTACCAATGGTCACCAAAATTGGGCTAGTTAAACCTCTACCTCTTTCTATACTCGATTACGCTATTTTCAGTTATCTCTATTGTTCAATTGGCTCCCAATTCTCCCAATTCTAGAATACATATTCTATTGTTTCATCAATATATAGTATTATTTATTAGAATATAAAATTATTAGAATTATTAGAATATATATTCTTTCATTAATATATAGTATCCTTTTCAATCCATTTACCCTACCTTACTTAAAGCAACATTTTGTGATCCTCATTGACACACATCTAGGATCCCTATTTATTTATCCCTCAATATTTCAATAATTATAACTATAATTTTTATTAACGGTAAAAACAAAAACATCTATATTAAACAGACTAGAAAATAAAAAACAAAATTAGGAACAAAAACGTATTTTTAAGTACTTTTATTTACGAGTATTGTCAACAATATCTTCAATTAAAAGACTAATTATTATTTAATCGGTACTTATCAATTTTAATTATTTTACACTTTTTAAGTGTCTTCTCTTACAAGCAATAGTTCTAGTTTTTTTCATTTTTTTTAAGTTGTACCAAAAAGGTTGTTAGCCCCTCCATCTAAGTACTTATGTTACCTATTGTAAGAAAAAAGTATCACGGATAAGTTAACTCTATTAGATTATAAGTCGTAAAATTAATTTATTCGATTATACTGTTTGTTTCAGGTTTGTTGTTTGGCTTCGTTGTAGTCTTTTTTTTTACTATATCACATCACACACAGCAACAGCCTTTAATAGTCCACTGCTGGACATAGACCTCTAATTAGAAAGGAGGTATAACTATATAACTTTAACTTATTCTTGCTTTGTCGTATAAATACGTCCACAACTACAGAATAATTGGGCGTTGTCTAATGCTGTCTGCCGATCTAATCCTGTTCAGTTGAAATTGTAACATTTTTTAACTGGCTTAGCTTAAACTTAAAAGGCGAATAAATTAGTTTATTTTTTTGTAAAGTATGACTAAAAGGGGCTGCAATATACCAATAATTAACATTTACGAAAAAGCAGTGAATGTATTACCTTTAATACAAGGCGGCATTTCTCCATTTGTATGGAAGATAGCTCGGTAGTCAAATTATGTCATGTAGAAATTTCTATTCATGATTGTTCCAGACTCGGGCAATATAATTAAGTGAAATTGAGGCCTGTACTTTCATATCTACATTTTGTTAACATTTTGATAATGTAATTTATACGAAGTGGTTCATATTTCCATTTTAAAAGAGTTTGGTAAGTACTGCATATGAAAGTTACGCAGAAAATGAATCGAAATTCTTGTAAATATTATGTTTTAATTTAAAGAGGAAACGAGGACGGCCTTGATGAACATACATACAGCAAGTGAAGGAGAAAGTAAGAGGCGTGTCCTATCAAAAGGTCAAACAGATCGCAGGAAATAGAGAGGAGTGGCGATTGCTCCACCGACAAGGGCTTGACTCTTAAATTGGAAGAGAGAGATGTTTTAACTGTGTAAGGAAGTTTATTTGTTACGCTTTCATATCTTATCCATTCTACTTCAATTCAAACTGCTTAAAATATAACTTTGTGCACATACTGTCACAGAGAAACCCTTCGTTCAGAAGAAAAGATACTGTTTTTTAATATTAATTAAATTTATTAACAAGATTTAAGCTGCGAAAAAAATTTAGCTCTTGCTCAGATTTTATTTTTTATTTGTACTATTTTTTTAAGATTCTTCAGGCCTGTTGCACGTGTAATTTATGTACAGTAGTTAATAGTAACTAAAACATGAAGCCGGTTGGTTGTTGTTTAAAGTTGTTTTTTCATCACAGTTTATATATAGTAATGATTTTCCGAACCCTAAAACAAAAATCATCCTAAAAATCTTTAGGAGGTTTAGTTCCTAAATGCTACGGAATTGGGGAAGGCTTTTTTTTGGTGATGCATATTTTGAGAAACAAACTCATAAAGGAATTAAAAAATAAAACCTAAAAAAACAAATAATTAAATTGCTCCGTTCTTTTTAAGCATAGAATATTGTTTTTTTTTTTGTTGCAAACAATCATGTTTAATAATAATAATAATTAAAATAATAAATATTTGTTTGCTTCAAACATGCGTATTTTACAGGAAATGAATCCTATACAGTTCAATAGGTTAGTTGTTATGTATCAACATGTTTTGCCATGGACGGCGTACAAATATAAATTGATTGAAGGTATATTTTGACAATAGTAACTAATTTGTATTGATGATTATTGTGTTCTTTATGAAACTATTCATGAATAACATTAATCATCATTACAACAATATAATTATATGAATTAGCAATGTTTGTTATAAAAATGTCAAAAATAAAAAAAAATTAAATAGAATGTCATAATTAAATGTCAAAATAAAAAAAAAAACTTTAAAACGTATATCAAGATAAATAGTTATAGCTACAGATAAAACCTTGTAAAAAATAATAATAATAATTAAGAGTTATCGTTTAAGTAGTAGTTAATATTAAAATAGCATTTCTTAACCAACATTTCCTTAACTCTGTTTCTAAACAAATTATAATTCAATGATTTAAGCTGTTTTGGTAATTTATAATTATATTTTGGGTGCGATACAGATTACACTACTCCCCAAATGAGCAGTTTTGGCGCTGTGCATACGTAGTCGTTGATTGTCTCGTCTGTTACGCTGAACTGTATCAGACAAAGATTAGGACATAGAAACATACATATAGGACATGTTATTATATTAACAAAAATGATGAAAAAAGCAATAAAAAGTGTTTTTGAAAGTATTTTTTTTTTAATTTTTCATAGAAATACTTTAATGTCAAATATCTTACGTTTAAATCAAAATTGTAGCACGGTAGTTCTACTCTTGCGTTTCGATTTCGTTTATCGACAGATGTAAATAGAATAAGATGTCCGTTTTTTCGGTCAGAAACATTAATGTGTACATTAGTATGTACTTTTTTTTTGTAAATACATACATATTATACATAGAAACACTCAGACAAAATCAGACATTAAAAGTTTTGGACATCAACTTATAGGTAGAGAAATATCGATTAGCCTTTTTTTCTCTGTGCGGCAATCCCCTCGGATACCACCCACCGGTGGTTATGTCGGACTCGAAACGACCAAAAACCGCACGCCGTCTCGGGTACCAGTTACCGGGGAACCAGGTTTAAACTAGGAAGGAAAACCCTGATACCACGACGTACCTCGGGCCATCTACGGCGTGTAAATGACCCCCTCCTGTGTGGGAACCCCTATGTCCCCTTTGTGCTCCCGAAAGGACGCG